GAATTGAAAAATTCGTTTCGTTTTTTAGATGCTCCTGAATGGTTCGTTATCGCTTCGTAACAAAAAAAAAAACAAACGAATTTTTAACGAATTACAAAATTACGAAACGAAACCGCCCAGCCCTAATACATACACATATACACAAATATACACACACACATACACACATATATACATACAAAACACATATACACAGACTGGGCCACAGCAATGCATGGCAGGGAATGGCTAGTTGTTCAATAAAAGGAATCAAGCTGGCTCCATACTCAATTAGCTTTCAGAATAGCAGTCACAGCCACATTGTTTCATTAGACCTTTGGTCCTCAATATCAAATATATCAAATTTAACTCTTAAAGAGTACTTTAATTTGGGGGGGGGTATTAAAAACCTTTTCAAAACTGCACTACAGTAATGTTTTCATTTGTTTTCCATTGAGATTAAAGCCCTAGTACTTGTTCTTCAGACAAGTTGCTTCTGGGCTCTGGAGACCAGGGTGCATGTCCCTGGAAATCTACTGGGTGACCTTGGTCAAGTAAACACCTCTTAACCTCTGAGGAAGACAAAGGCAAGCCCTCTCCAAACAAATATTGTCAAGAAAACCCTGTGGTGGGTTCAGCTTAGGGCTGTCATCGTTTGGAAATTGTTTGAAGGTACACAACAAAACCAAACTACCTACTAGTATCATAGAAAGCTGATTTACTGAAGAGGCTGTGCTCCATCACAAACACACAGTTGTGGGCATCCTGTTAAGGATCTATGTAAATGTAAGACCACCTTACACCTGGAGATATCTAATTCTTTATTTGTCATTGAGCTTGAATATTCTTTCACCATCTGCAATGACCTAATGCCCAAGACTAACACTTCTGCTGTGCGATCATCTGAATGGCCGTTGTGTAACTGGTGGAGAGTGCATATCCCCATAGTATAGTGGTTCTCAACCTGGGGGTCACGACCCCCAGAGGGGTTGCCTGGCCATTTCAGAGGGGTCGCGAGGTTGCCTCATTTGGCCCCACCCCCTCTGACTCCCTGAAATAGTGTCCAGGCCCCGGGACCACCCTCTTCTCACCCCATTCAAGGCCTCCACCACTGGTGGAAGCCTCAAAAAGAGTGTGGGGCAGCAGGAGCAGCGAGGCTTGTCCTCGCCCTTCTCCTCTGGGCTCTTCTTCCTCCTCCTCCTCGTTTGGGGACCTCCAGTATTTTCTGTGGGGTTCTCTTGCCAAGTTTGGTCCAGTTCTGTAATTTGGGGGGGGGGGGTCTCAGTGGCCTGTGGAAGTCAGAGCTGACTCGTTTGAAGGCACTGCAAATCCCATCATCCATTGTCCATACTCCCCAAACATATTGTTTTTGGGATTAATCACTATACTTTAATTAGGTTCTATAAAGGTTTAATTAGGTTCTATATAAGGTTACAATAAAAATACATCCTGCATATCAGATATTTACGTTATGATTTATAACAGTAGCAAAATTACAGTTAGGTTCTTGTGGGTTTTTTCGGGCTATAGGGCCATGTTCTAGAGGCATTTCTCCTGACGTTTCGCCTGCATCTATGGCAAGCATCCTCAGAGGTAGTGAGGTCTGTCGGAAATAGGACAATGGGTTTATATATCTGTGGAATGGCTGGGGTGGGGCAAAGAGCTCTTCTCTGCTGGAGCTAGGTGTGAATGTTTCAACTGACCACCTTCATTAGCATTTGAAGGCCTGGCTGAGCCTGGGAAAATCTTATGTTGAGAGGTGTTAAGATGTGCCTGGTTGTTTCCTCCCTGCTGTTTTGCTGTTGTAATTTACAGTTCTAAAGTAGCAATGAAAATAATGAAAATAATTTTATGGTTGCGAGTCACCATAACATGAGGAACTGTATTTAGGGGTCACAGCTTTAGAAAGATTGAGAACCACTGCCATAGTAGATACATACTGATGACATAGTCCACTGAGACCCCAGAAAATCTGAGGAGAAAATGTCACAGATCTACATCAAGATGTATAATATTTGGGAGAAACGTTGTGACCAAACCTTGGGGAAAACTTCAGCACACACACATCACTATCACAAAGTGCCTCAAAATGTGAGAAAATCTGTCAGATCTTGAAAACTAGTTTGGTCTCGTGGTTTTACTAGGTTTTAATCCCTGCTCAAACTTGGAAACCAACTGAGTGATCCTGGACAAGTCACTCCCCCTTAGTCTAAGAAGGAGGCAATAGAAAATGCCTGCATAAATTTTGCCAGAAAAACTGATAGTGTTGCCAAAAGTCAGAGATGACTTGAAATCACATCACAACAACAACTTGACAAAAAAAGGGTACAATTGACAAAAACAAGAACCATTGCTTGTGTTAACCAGTGAAGGCCTAACATGATTCCTTAAACCATTTCAGAATGGGGGCTCGACAGATTCAGAGTGTTGCTCCTCCGGATTATAACCAATACTCACTTTCAACTGCAACAATGACAGCCTTGGTCACAGTCCCATGTCTGTTAGTAGCATTACACCAGAAGACTCCACTGTAAGCAGGGATCCCTTGTCCTTGGGTTAAATGATATGATAAACCATCTTTCGTACATACAACCTCTGGAGTTGGAACCCCCTCAGCTGTACAGGCAAAGTTAGGTAGTTCCCCCTCCACCAAAGTCCAGTTGCTTGGACAGCTGGATTCATCCATTTCTGGCTTATCTGAAACATCAAAAAATACTGACATAAGATTACAAAATGTTTTCCTAAGGGGAAAATGTATCAGGAGTTCCTCAGTGTAAAGACAGATACAGGATGAACATTCTAGGATAGTCCATTCTCAACTTTTAGTTCTCCAGATATAGTTGGACTACAAAACCAACACTGGCCACCATGGTGTCTGAGGCTTTTGAAAGGTGATATCCAAAAGCTCTGGAGAACCAAAGGCCAAGAATAGGACACACTCTTGGTTGATGCAGATAACAGTAAGGCTCAGTGGTTGAAGTTTTATGTTTTCTGTAGCTTGACAATGTGAAGCCCACCAACATTGCAACCTATGAAGTTCTAAATCAGCGATTCTCAACCTGGGGGTCGCGACCCCCAAGGGGGTCACTGGCCATTTTCCGGGGGTCACGAAGCCGCCCGGGTTGGGCCCGCCCCCCTCCAAAATGGCTGCCGGCTCCTGTGCGAGCCAAACAGCCACGGCCATGGAAGGGACATTTCCCGCTTGCCCCACGTGTCCTCTGGCCTCAGAGGATGTGAGGGGTGAGTGTAAGGCCCTCGCCACGGCCATGGAGGGGGCGTTTCTCACTCGCCCCACACACCCTCCGGCCTCGGAGGATGCGAGGGGCGAGTGTAAGGCCCTCGCCATGGCCACAATACAGATACAGTTCAGATGGAATCTCCTCTCTTGTAGTTTGAAGCCATTGTTCCGCGTCCTAGTCTCCAGGGAAGCAGAAA